ACCAGAGAATTAGCCATGCTTAAAACCAATGAAGAGCTACAGCATAAACTATAAATTCTCCACACTGATAAAATAGAGTAATTGATAAAATAAAGCCAACTATTTACTTTGTTAAAGCATATGAACATTTTTGAATTAAAGAGTCCAAGAAAAACAATATAATGGGGAAGTTGTAGCAATCAAATATTTTGTTGAATACTCTAGAGTTCCCAAGGAGACTCCTCAGCATGTATCTAGCTGTGATTATTTTTCCTTATAGGGTTCTTTGATGATGATGGAGATTCCAACTGCCATCTGAACATGATGCTTTTATTTTATATACGGATACAATAAGGAGCTCGCTATGGGTCGGAACCGACTCGACGGCACTTAACAACAACAACAACGACAATATGATGCTTAGATTTACGTCCTAGATGCTATTGTAGCAACAAAAGCATTAACCAACAGTGTTGTCGTAGAAAGGATAAGCACTGTGGGATAAGTACTGGACTGCTAATCACAACATTGGCCCCACCAGCCCCACCTTGGAAATCCTATATAGGGCTCCTGTGAGTTGCAACAACTGACTCGGCGACCCTTAACAATAGAAAAAACAGTAGCTTCCTGTATTACATGCATTCTGAAGTTCCCAAACTCCCAGTTACTTACTAGGTATCATGTTAAACATGCAATTCATCCTACTTATTGAAAGACAGCTGCAGACTTTCTGAGTATTCTGTGATTTCTCAACAGTCTTATTAAACTGAATTTAATAACAATTTTGGGAAAATATGAAGAATAAGGATTCCAAGCACTGAATTTGTTTGTGGTGGGAGCTAGCAGATCCTCAGCATCTTGGTTTGGTTTGGTTTGATTTGGTTTTCCTGGATGCACTAAGAGAAGATCATGTTGCAAAATTTCCATACAGCACTCCACTAGACACACATATTTTCTCACGGCTGTCAGGAATTAAGTCTCAATGTTGACTCCCAGCATCCTGTGAGATGTGTAGAACTTCAAAGCTAGCAACATAAAAGGGGATTCGATTCACGCCACTTTGAGAAGGGCAGGAGAGCCACACTCTCTGAGTAAACAGATGAGCACACACGGAGTCCGAGATACTAACACGAGTTTAACAAGGCTTTGTTCGAGTGGAACACACCTTTGAGCCCAATCCACATTTTCTAAAGTTCACAAAACAATATTTTGAAACCATGAATGGAACAGCAAATCCATTTTTAAATTACTGGCGGTGGTGGTGGCTGTGTGCCATGGAGTTGGTTACATAGTGACCCTGTACAAGGTTTCCGAGGCTGGTAATCTTGACAGGAGCATCTTTCTCCCATGGAACCGCTGGTAGTTTCGAACTGCTGACCTTGTAGCTACCAACCCAACTCGTAACCACTATGCTAATCAGAGCTCCTTATGGAAAAAACAAAACAAAAACCAGGAAATATTTGTAGTTACTGAATTGTGTGGTGCTGCGGCATAATGCACTGGACTGAAAGGTCATTTGAATCACAAGGTTGCTGGTTCAAATTCACCAGCTGCTCCTTGGTAACCCTATACAGGGTTGCTATGAGTCAGAACCGACTCAATGGCACTTAACAACAACAACTAATTAAAAATTAGTACTCACCATCAATTAACTAACTATAAATATTTCCTGTTTTTTCCAGAAACGAGAGAACGCTGATTAAAAGTTTCTATACACCTGCCCCAGATTTGAATAGCGTTGCTTAAAATTTAACCTTAAACCAATGCATAAAAACGGACAGTAGACTTTCCAACAGGAAGCATTTAAAGCAGAATTCGTAGCAAGATAAAAGGGTAAACTAGAAACTTACTAATGTATTCAAAAGACTATTAGAAAATTTTGCAACTTAATTATTGGAAGATTAAAGCAGTGCTCCAGTGCTCCTGTGCTGAGTCCAGAAGGTGCACATGTGGGGAGTAAAAAATGAAAGCGTTCATTTTACTGTTTCCCTAGGGAGGCGCCGCAGAAGGAGTAGGAGTCGTGCTTTGGAGATAGCCCAGTGGGTCTTGGTGTCTACGCGACCATAAATCCTAAATGTGCTGCTCACTCCCTTACTTCAAGCTACTCCCTTCTTTGTGGACACAGGAAAGAGCCTGCGCCCTGCCTGGGGGGGACTCACCGTTCATATTCTTGAAGATGTTCAGGATAGGCAAGATCTGACGGTAATAGGGTACCAGCGCTTCTCCCACCATCTCCGCCGACACAACCAGATGCTGGAGAACTTTGAGCGTGACGCAGATGACCTGTCGGTTTCGGAGGTTCAGAGCATCTGCATTGGAGGAAATGGAACGAGCAGAAAATAGAAGGCATTAGTTTTTACGATGTGAAGGGTACATTTAGTTAAACGGGACCCTAGTGGGGTTGCCAATGGGTGTTTATTGCTATGGCTTCGACTGAGGCATTTCAGCCCTACTGTTAGAAACAGCATTTCCTTTGAGGCATCTGTTCTCCTGACTTGTACTGAGTCAAAACCAACCCTCAGAAAGCAGCTCTCTTTCACCAGAAGGCTCTTAGTCTGAGAAAAGAGGAATGTGTAAATAGATAAGATTAGTCAGTATCCCTGCAGCCCCCTCAGAGTCCATGTGTCAACAATGACAACAACACAAAGATTAACAGTACACACATTTTAATGCAATAATCTGTTTCTGTTTACAAATCACGCTTTCCTTAAAGACTTTGCAGTCTGACGCAGTAGCCCACAGTGCCACACCAGGACTTCAGGGTCGTCCTGTCATGAAGTGCTGTCGAGTTGGTTCCGACCCATAGCCACCCTGTATAGGGTTTCCGAGGAGCAGCTGGTGAGCTTGAACCACCGATCTTGTAGTTCAAATGGCTTTGCAGCCTGAGGCATTAGCCCACAGCGCTACACCAGGACTCCAAGGTAAGCCGCATAAGAGCCCCTTAATTTCATCCAAGAGACATTTTGTTACATTTCCCATTTCCACTTCAGTTTCTCTATTTTTCTTCCTCATTCTCAGGGAATTAAGACACACTATTTGGTTTGAAGTCTTTTTGGAATTCCCTGAGAATGCCATTCCAATCGAATTAAAGAAAAAATAACTTATCTATTCTTTTTTTTTGAAATAAACTTTTCCTTTGAAAAAGTATGCTAACACATATAAAGAGATAGGATTCTTTAACTTGAAAGAGAAGAACAGTGTTTACCCTTGTGATGATGGTCCTGAAAGCTATTGTGAAGACATAAGTGAGGGCTTTGAACTCAAGATTGAAAGTTCTAACAAGAGATATCTACTGACATTATAGATCAACTAGTGGAACCTTTATATTCAGAAAATTGGATTTCTATTGTACTGCTTACTGCCTTCAAGTATAATCAACAAGATAGAGCTTCCGGATCTATAGAAATTGCCGAAGAATAGAGAAAAAATAATCTAAAGTCAGTGGTAAAACTTATTCATCTTAAATGGTTATAAGTTACATGTATGATTTTCTCAGGCCTAAAATCCATTAGGACTCTGGTTTTTACAATGTGAGAACATTTTCTACCATTAGATAAAAAGTCCACTACTGTGGAATCGGAAAAAGAAATCTGAAACATTTCTCTTTCTTCTCGTTAAAACTAGAAAGCCCAAGCAAAATGAAAGGCAAAATACAAATTCTAAAAGTATTTTCGACATACATTACAGATGTTAATATCACTAATATACAAATAGTTACTGTAAGACAGTACAAGACAGAATTCATCAATTAAAATATGGGCAAAGGACATGAACAGACAATACACAAACTGATAAACATACATAAATATCTAGTGTTCTAGAATGTTTAACTTCATTAGCTACCTAAAACAGGAAATAAAACCCTAATTTATGTTTTTGATACCCTATTAACAAATTTTTTTTGAAAAGTTATTATCAGTGTGGAAACAGGTTTCAGAAAAAAGGCATTCTCATAAATCCCATATTATAAGGCTTCATATTTCTATAGGACAATTTAACACTATGCCTAAAAGCCATAAAAATGTATGCAGCTTCACCCAGCAATTTCACTTCTGGGCATTTGGTCTAAGGAAGTAATTGCACTGTTCACAGAAGTTATAAGAAA